GGTCAGGGGAGCGGTTATGGTCAGGGAAGCGGTCAGGGGAGCGGTCAGGGTCAGGGGAGCGGTTATGGTCAGGGAAGCGGTCAGGGTCAGGGGAGCGGTCAGGGAAGTGTTTATGGCCAGGGGCCAGGGAAGCGGCCAGCGGTCATGGGAGTGGTCATGGTCAGGGGAGCGGTCAGGGAGTTGTACAGCTTTCTACTGTATCTGCATTTAAGTATAATTTGAGTACTTTTTACACCCCTGTAAACAGATAATGCCCGCCTTCATAGATTTGATTGGCTATCTCTGTCATTTTGACTTTGACGAGCACTCTTAGACCACTCATCCACTCCGATGAGAAAGTCCCATTATCTTTGTGGCACCAGTGTTCAGTTAGTGTTATTAGGCAGTTATTTCACAACTTTTTTTTTTTTTTTAATAAGCCTATAAATGCCGAGGTCTGGATCTCGCAGATCTCATGCTGGGAACGGCAGCGTGTTCAACTTCATGTTGAGCTGCGCAGACCGATCGGCAAGAGTTGTAGCTTGCAGTTGGGGGCGGAATTGAAAGCGTAAACGTGAAGTCGGACACTTTCTGCTTTCCACAGGGATGTTCGCATGGTGTTTGCATACTTTATCACATATTAAGTGAATAAAATGCAATATTTGTCGAATACAGATGTTTCGGAGACGTTTTCATGAAGCAACAGAAACACTTCATGTAGGCTATACTGCAGGCATCTGATAGGAAACGTCCTATAGACGTATTGCAGATGAGCAAACACTCTAAAAAAAAAAAAAAAACCTCAGCAGATGAAAATGCAGACGTCAAATAGACATTTCCATGATGAAGGTTATTAGTGGCATCAGTTGCTATTGCACAAAGAGCATTCCGTTCATAATCACTAAAAAGCTGACAATCATCTTAGTTAATCGAGATCTCACAAAGATACATTATTATCAATAAAGTTCTCTACGCTGCACACTGAATCTCTTACATCACGTCAGAACTTTGAGATGATTCGTGCTGAACACAACAACACCACAAAAACTCGATTTGAGCCGAGCGGTGAGTGGATTCTAACTAAAAGAATCAGTGGATTCTGATTCAAGAAATCAACTGTGATTAGCTACATTGCTCAGTGCTGCAAAAACACGTTGAAATGGAAATCGATCTCCAGAGCGCAAACCATAACGCACTGGATAGTTTTGCCAAATCTGCAATAAAATGCCATTAATACAGCTTTAACCGAGGGTACTTTTGATTTCGTTTGAGGGTGCTTAGCACCCTCTAGCACCCCCGTAGAACCGGGCCTGAGTGTTCAGACACAGCCTATATAGCCCTTGTCATGGGTGACACTGGGGGGGGCAATTGCCCCCCTAAATTGTTAGTCATGGAATTCCTGATGTCGGCCCGCTGCAATTGGAGCGCTTAGCCAAAGCACTAAATACCCTCACCGTGTTTTTGCAGCGTTGAGCAATGTAGCCAATCACAGACATATCTGTTGATTTCTTGAAGGTAATGGTCAATCAGAAACGTTTTGTCAGAATTCAGTCACCGCTGAAAGCGCAGCTGTTTTTAAGTGCAGTTTTGCACCCTCGTGAATCATCTCATGACTAAGTGCAGACGCAATGTAAATATTTAGAGAGCTTAATTCACTATAACGGAACTCGGTGAGATCGCGATGAACGAAGATGAGTGACGCTTGTGATAAAGGGAGCGCGCTTTGCGCACTTAGTAGGGTATAATCCATTCAGAATTTGTATGAAACTTTTGTTTTTTGGACACACAGCCTACACCCTGCAAAGTTTCGGGAATGACATCCGCATATTTATAACATATAACATCAAATATATGTGAAAGCAGCCTTAGTGATTTAATTCTGGAGCCGGTCCTGGCCAAACCTCGACAGCGTGCGACCTGAGCGAGATCTAATTCACGGACCAAAAGTGTGTGTAAACTTTATTGAGATCGAGACATATCAACCAGTCATTTAATTTAATTTCCAGTAACGGACGGTAGAAAGTTCAGCAATGAATGAATGGTATGCGACTTATGACAGAATATAGTCCCACAACTGATCTTTTATTTTTTCCTCGCCATTGGTAACAACGATTCAAAACAGACACATTTCAACTGACACGGGAAAAAGACACGGAAAACTTCAGTGAACATCAGAAAAGCACCGTGCACATTTCTGGTTAAAAATGAAAGGCCATCAACTGAAAAACGGGAAGCATCGCCATTCAACTCAGCAGCAAGATTCAAAGCTCCACAGTTTACTAAACGGTGGCAACCTCTTTAAGTTATTCTTGACTGTGTTGTATTGGCTGCTTTGATGCGTTGCAATACAGTAGGGCTTTTTAATGCTTTAATGCTTACATCCGAAAAAAAAATATTTTGCTTTTTTTATTTTATTTTATTTATTTATTTTTTTTTTGCTTTTTTTTCTTGCCCCCCCCTCCGACTCAAGAGTCAAATGTCGCCCATGGCCCTTGTGTTACCTTAAGTCAGTCATTGTTTGGTGTTAGTTTCTTGTCCCTGTTCTTCTTGTTCTCTGTGATCCTTGTTGTTGTTTCCTTTGGACTATTAATAAACCACTTTGCACGTAGATCCTAATTTTCTTCTGCATTTCTTGTTCCCCACATGACAACCACTAGGCCTATGTAGGCAAAAAAATAAGTTTCTCCATTGAAGGCCATTTACTGTAATTAGGTGAAATCAATGTTTTTGCAAGCAACATATAAATTGGAAAAAAGATGTGTACTTCCGGGGCTGGAAGCACTGCCATTGCAGTGAATGGGATGATAACAGACAACTTCTTCAGGTATTTTAGACCTCCTTTGTTTAATCCAACAATTTAAGCACACTGGAAATAATGGCATGAAAAATGTGTTTCATTTTCATTAACAAGTTCAGTAATGGGTGACTCTAGGCAGCAGAGCAGTGCAAGCTCACTTTCTTGGTGTACTTACCACCACAGAAACAATGGCAAATAGTTTTTTGAAGAGAATGCCTCATAAATAATGACTGCTGCACACTATTCTCTCCAGCAACCTAGTTGATCCTGCCTGTAAAACAACACATGTCAGAGATACAACATGTCACTTGGTCGCTGAGTACTTGGGAGGAACAATAATGTACAATCCCATGAGAGTTTGTTACACTGTAGTACACTTGTAGAGTCTTTCATACCATTTGTGAACATCACACCTGGTCTGCTTTTGAAAATCTGTGCAGCTGCATGGTATTCCTCAGGTTTAGCAGCTGTAACCTGATGCTACAAGCATTTTTTCCTTTAGCTGATTACAACTGTTCTTAAGCCTCTGCTACTCTACACTGACATCTCTACTCATATTGTTTTTGTCCATTTTCCATTGTTTCTACAAAAGAATTTAAGGAACAATTATATGTTTTATATAGCATTATAAACAAAGTTTAACATGCAGTTATTCTTAATATAATTTCAGACCAAGGAAATCACAAACAGAAAATTCAGAGCATTGATAGCTTAGAGGTTAAAATTTTCATTCAGATCTACAGGGAAAAAATCAAGTTTGTTAAAAATAAAACGGTTAAAGTATCTAAATTAAGTTCATGATGATTTATGATACCTTTGATGTATGTAGTACAATCACAAGTGAATTTCTGCATAATTTAAATGCTGTGGGATTTATTTTACCTGCCTGATCACTTTCAACCTGACAACCAAGTCTAACACGTCCTTGTTTATTTCTGTCATTAAGTTTAGTCAGATTTATTTGCCCAGTGGGTTTATAGGCTGAGGGGTAAGCAGTTTAATATGTTACTTTTCTCATTGGATAAAACCGATTACATCTAAGTTAATCTAATCAATGCATTATATGAGTGAAAGAACAGAGATAAAAACTAGGGGCCCGCATTATATTAAATCTAATGAACTTCGCATGAAAAGTGTTTGTTGTACTGTCATCCTACCACATGTACAGATACCACCTCTATGAATGATCTGCTCTGGAGGGGGCAATCCTGAGATCTGTTGATTTCATAATCAAATGAATATCTCAGACAGGGCTTCACATAATAAAATTTAAATACCTGGCAGTTTGATGTAAATCTTGACACATTCAGTAGATGAAACAGGTTTATCATGTCTGGGGCGGGTTCTGTATGATCTGATAACAATCAAGTTTACTACAAAGGGTTGAAATGGTTTCATTTGGTTTCATCAAAGCCACCATGCAAAACCTCGATGACCGTCTGGCCACCTACCTGGAGAAGGTGCGCTCCCTCGAGAAGGCCAATGCTGATTTTGAGCTAAAGATTCGCCAGTTCCTGGACAGCAAGGCCTGCTGCTCGTGACTACAGCGCCTATTATGCTACTATCAGTGACCTCCAGGTCAAGGTATGTGACTTAACTATTGAACATATTAGTCAAGTCAATCTTTAAACTACCTTTAGACAAAAGTTAACCAATTGTGAATTTACCATCATTCTTCTTATGCATAACATATATTCAAACAGTGTAAAACACAAGTACTCATAAAAGAGAGATCTAAAATGTACCTTTGATGCATTTCTTTCCGAGCCCCTGAAGATTCAGCATGCCACTGGTGTAAATGGAGGCATCTACTTGAGCATTGACAATGTCAAGCTGGCTGTAGATGACTTCAGGGTCAAGTAAGTCTGCAACTTAAAGGCTTGCACTATGAAAAACACAAACATTTTTATAAAGGATCCAAAACATTTACAATGGATTCATTTTTGTGCAGATATCAGACTGAGCTGAACATGAGGCAGTCTGTAGAGGCAGACATTGCTGGCCTGAGGAGGGTGCTGGATGAGCTGACAATGTCCAGATCTGACCTGGAGATGCAGATTGAGGGTCTAAGAGAAGAGCTGATCTTCCTCAAGAAGAACCACGAGGAGGTAAGTTGGTGCTTGGTTCACACTCGATAGCTGTGAAATGCATGTCAGGCAAATGCTCAGTGGTTTGTAATTGCGTCTTTAGGAACTAGTCTTAACATAAGTTTATGCAACTGGCCCCAGATCTTCCTCAAGAAGAACCACGATGAGGTAAGTTGGTGGTTGGTTCACACTCATTAGTTCCTCTTGAAATGTATGTGAGGCAAATGCTCAGTGGTTTTTATTGCATCTTTAGGAACTCTTGGCAGCACGTGTCCAGGTGAGCGGACAAGTCAATGTAGAGCCTCGTGTGTGTGCACCGTGACACCTGACTGCTTTCTGATGGATTTCCTCTCACAGAGCAAAGCCCTCAACAAAGAAGTCGCTGTGAGCACAGAAACTCTCCAAACATCCAGATCAGAAATAACAGAGCTTAAATGCACACTTCAAAGTCTTGAAATTGGGCTACAGTCACAACTCAGTATGGTAAGCAAGCAGACGTGAATCTTGTAAAGTTTGGTCATCAGTTCCAGGTAACCAGCCTGGAAGAGCAGCTGGTGCAGCTTCGTGCCGATCTGGAGCGCCAAGGGCAAGAGTACAGGATGCTTCTGGACATCAAGACCAGACTGGAGATGGAGATCGCAGAGTACAGAAGACTTCTGGATGGAGAGGCTACAAGGTGAGACACAACTACAACAAAATCTTTTAAGAACAGTACGTAAATTAAACATTAACTTTCTATTTTTTAAGTGGCCATTATTTAATAATCTTTGTATTCTGCCTCTGCAGTGTCTCAACCACAAGCAAAACCTCGACTACACGCAAAGTGGTAACTATTGTGGAAGAGGTGGTGGACGGCAAAGTGGTCAGCTCATCCTCCCAGTCTACAAGCCAGACCATGTCTTAAAATCACCCTTGAGCAAAATCTATCTACAAAAGAGTGATAAAGCCAATAAAGTGGTCTAACTGTGCATTTTTGTGTATGTCTTGTTTTGATGTCATTTGCACCTTGCATAAAATCAGCTCCTATTTTGGCAAGTATAAAAAAAGTCTTATGAAAACCAATAATTATTAGCTAGCATTATAAAACTACTATTTGTGTTCATAAACAGGGTAACACAACTTACTCAAGTATTGCAAATATTGGTATAAACCATTGAAATAAGAAAAAAATAAGGTTACACTGCATGCATTTAATGGTTTTCGGTTTTTCAAAATTAATGAATGTTTTCAGTAGTTCTGAAGGCCATTGACTTATTGCATTACTGTTTATTAGGATATTTTATTAAGTAATTTGAACAAGCCCCAATCAACAGATTATTTTATTCAGTTCAGACTTAGTGTTTATTCTAATGGACATCACTTTTGTTTTCTCTGATGTTTCTTATAATAACATGAATAATAATTTGACTGTTTTAAAGATAATATAAACTTAATATAAACTTAGATGGTCTTAAGACAGCCTCACAAAACTTACCAAATAGATAGTTGATTTTTAATAACTTTTCAAGTAATGAATTTGATGATAAATGTCTCAAAGGAAGTGACACATCTCAAATTGTAGTTCGTTACATAATCTTATTTTACTCATTTTAGGTCATGTATTGTGACTACTTTTTAGATGACTTTTCTAACTTGATTTAAACCTACCAATAAATGTATCATACTGATATAAAAAAGGCCAAGGTTAAGGAAATATATTCCATTATTTGATATCAACATCATTAAGTGCATTAAACATTACATTACACCAGGTTTCCCTAACTGGGGTTAATGTAAGAACGGCAGTGGGTTTGTGAGTTAAAAAAAAAAAAAGAATAATTAATTCAGTCATAAGTATATAAAAAAAATTAAAAACAAAGCAATCAAAATAAAACACCTGAACACTAAAAAACAGACATATTTTATTTTTTACCTGCATGTCAATGTGACTATTAACTGACACCAGAGAACTGTGAAAATGCAAATGCCTTGTTAAATTATTAAAATATTAACGTCCTCAGGGATATTTCAAGTAAATATTTTATGCCAAAGGGGTTTGGCTGACAAAAATGTTTCAGAATCCCTGCATTAAATGAACAAACATTAATAAACATGAAAACAGCAAAGACATTACACGTCTTAAGTCGTCCAGGTTTGAAATATTTTTGTTCAGCCCTCCAGAACGAACAATTATTGAAGGTTACTGGATATGATGAAGACATTTCACAGCTACTCATCACCAATGTTTAGTAACTTGCATAATTATTTGTTTCATTCATGGACTAATTGCTTGAGGGCCAAATTCAGAAGCGTGGATTGCAAAATTACTTACATGGCATTAACATTGTATATTGGGAATTTAGTCAAATCTAAATGGTCTGACACTTTTGGAAAGGACAATTTTAAAGAGAAAAAAAGAAGTATTAAGGAGAATCAATAAATAATAAATAATTCACTGCCATTTTATGAATAGCATGTAATCATGTAATCCATAAGTAATTGTAATCTCATTATAAACATTTTAAAATGTAATATAATCCAGAGCACTCCATTTTTGGAATCTGATTACGTAATCCAGATTACATATAATCAGTTACTACCCAGCACTGTTCTTACTTCTAAGTTTCTCTGATCCTCACCAAATTAAATCAGGTAATCAACAGACCAAGGTCAGGATGGAAAAAATATGAATGAATATTAACATTTGTATGAAGTGTATTTAAAACTGTTTGCCTATAAAAGCACCAAAGGTATGTGAGCAATACCACTAAATTGACATAGGCTGGTAAAGGTTGCAGGGTCAAACCTTAAAGGGTCATCACCTGTGTGGCCCTGAGCAAAGGACATAACCTTTAGCTCTAGGCCAGCACCAACAGTACCTATTTTCAAACTTTTCCTCATTAAAAACCTGATTCAACAATGTGCCTCCAGAAACAGGTTTGAGAAACACTGCTCTGGGTGACTGTCCCTGCAGCAAGTGTAGTGCCATAAAATACATTTTGTTGCATGACCACATACTTACCGGGAGGGACCCAACAACGTTTCTGGACATTGCCTCCTGTACCTTCAACTTAATATGAGTCAGAATTAATTAAAACTGAAGGCAAAATCTAAAAATCATCACTCAAGAATTAGCTCTAACTACAAATGTTAGGAATTTACATAATAAATTCATATATTTTTAGAATGAAACAACATTAGATATAAATATTGACTGTGTTAAGCTCTACAGTATTACATTCACTCCACACTCGAAATATTTAAAAGTTGCACAACACAACTTTGTTGCACACAAAAATACATTTTTATTTGCAACAAGACTGATTATCATTAGCAGGTCATCCGAAACCCACTTCAGACAAGCTAAACCTGCTTTTAATCGCTATTTTGATGCAACAGTAGGGACATTAGGCAACAACTGCATTGTTTAAATTCACAATCTGTAAAAAATAATTCATATAAAACATATGCAAACTAGGTAATGGATTTGTAATCAATGCCAAGAACTGGTCATTTATATTATTATACATACAAAAAATACTCATTTTGGAAGACCACATTTGTACAAGCTTTATGTGCCACCAGCTAACATGTGTAGTGGAAAAAAAAAATTTTTTTACCCCCAAATAAAAAATTGGCCTATTATGAACCACTGGAATAAAGAAAGACACCTATGTAGAGCAAAGAACATAAAGAATAATAAAATGTATGTGTCCAGCACAAAATTATATATATATATATATTGTAGGCTTTAAGTAAGCATTTAATTTTATTTGTGTTTAACAATAGAAAGGCCAACTACGCATATTGTAGGGTCCAGTTTAGCTATGGTTTACTGAATATATTCAATTAAATATATTATTCCATTTTTACTTAACAGACCGATAGGATATGACGGCCAATATACTATGAATTCCTAATTCAAACATTAAAATTGAATTAAAGTAGAAAGAAATTAGTTAATTAAACAAAACTGTTAGCTCAAAAAATACATCTCTGTCAATCCATGGCTTCAAGCTTAGGGCAAAATGTAAGTAATTATTGAGGAATTAAAGTGAAACTCTAAAACGCTAACATACCATGCAGACCTGTCTTCAGCCACGCCTGCTGCCTTAGGGAATGGGGCAAGGGTTATATGGTCCACCCCCTTAGGCAATCCATCTGGTCCCTCCCCCATTTGTCCACATAAAAGGAACAGGGGTCGTCTTCTCCTCACTCATCCACTCTCTCATTCTCCAGCCAGAGTTGAGGACAACAACAAGCCTTCTTCAAAATTATGTCTTCTTCCACCCGCACCTACATGTCTTCAGGAAGTTCTTCCCACTTTGGTGGAGGAGCCAGTCGTGTCACAGCCATGCGTGCTGGTAGTGTGTACGGGGGAGCAGGAGGAACCGGGGTCCGTATCTCCAGTGCTTCTGCTTCTCGTTCCTTCTCTGCTGGAGGAGGTGGTGCTGGTTTCAGTGGTGGCGCTGGCTTCAACCTGTCTGATGCTGTTGATGTGTCTGCAAACGAGAAAGCCACCATGCAAAACCTCAATGACCGTCTGGCCACCTACCTGGAGAAGGTGCGCTCCCTCGAGAAGGCCAATGCTGATCTTGAGCTGAAGATTCGCCAGTTCCTGGACAGCAAGACGGCCCCCTCTGCTCGTGACTACAGCGCCTATTGCACTACTATCAGTGACCTCCAGGCCAAGGTACGTGACTTACCTATAAAACATGAGAGTAAAGTCAATCATTAAACTACCTTTAGACAAAAATTAACCTATATATCCCATGGTTCCCCATTTGCAAAGCATAAAGCATATATTGAAAGCATTTAATGAACACTGAATTTCTCAATTACTGCAAGAGTGATCTAAATTTGACCCTTTTCATTTATTTATTATGTGCCAATATCCCTCAATATCCTATGGTTCCTCATGTGCAGAGAATGTGAAAAATACTGGATTTCCCAGGAATGCAATTTGACTCTATTTTTTCAATCTGTGCCCCTGAAGATTCAGCATGCCACTGGTGTAAACGGAGGCATCTACTTGAGCATTGACAATGCCAAGCTGGCTGCAGATGACTTCAGGGTCAAGTAAGTAACAAGCAACATAAACAAACAGCATTTTCGACATCTGCAAAAGGTCTAAAGCATTTAAATTAGTTTGTTTTTTGTGCAGATATGAGAATGAGCTGAGCATGAGGCAGTCTGTAGAGGCAGACATTGCTGGCCTGAGGAGGGTGCTGGATGAGCTGACAATGTCCAGATCTGACCTTGAGATGCAGATTGAGGGTCTAAAAGAAGAGCTGATCTTCCTCAAGAAGAACCACGAGGAGGTAAGTTGGTGGTGGGTTCACACTCAGAAGTTCCTCTTGAAATATATGTGATGCAAATGCTCAGTGGTTTTTATTGCATCTTTAGGAACTCTTGGCAGCACGTGTCCAGGTGAGCGGACAAGTCAATGTAGAGGTAGACGCGGCACCACAGGAAGACCTGACAAAGATCATGGCTGAAATCCGTGAGCACTACGAGGCAGTTGCTGCCAAGAACCGCAAAGATCTTGAGGCCTGGTTCCAGGCTAAGGTAATGTTTTTTTTTTGTTGTTTTTTTTTTAAAGGGCGATGTTTTAATGAAAATCAACAAAAGGTCTTACTGCTTTGCTGCCTCTCATAGAGTGAAGCAGTCAACAAGGAAGTTGCAGTGAGCACAGAAACCCTTCAAACATCCCGATCTGAAATCACAGAGGTTAAACGCACACTCCAGAGTCTTGAAATCGAGCTACAGTCCCAACTCAGCATGGTAAGCAGGCAGAGATGAATCTTGTAAATTTTGGTCATCACACTGCATAGAACACAAAATAACTAAACTTTCCCCAACAGAAAGCATCACTGGAAGGCACTTTGGCAGACACACAGGCCTGCTACGCTGCCATGTTGTCCGGCTACCAGTTCCAGGTAACCAGCCTGGAAGAGCAGCTGGTGCAGCTTCGTGCCGATCTGGAGCGCCAAGGGCAAGAGTACAGGATGCTTCTGGACATCAAGACCAGACTGGAGATGGAGATCGCAGAGTACAGAAGACTTCTGGATGGAGAGGCTACAAGGTGAGACACAACTAGAATAAAAATCTCTTAATAACAACATTTAGACTGTAGTGTCACCATTTTTCAATGAGCAGTGGTGGTTTATTATAATAAACAAAATTAAAGTGCGATGGATATCTGTCTGGCATTTCCATAGAGTGATATTATTTGTTTGTACCTCTGCAGTGTCTCAACCTCAAGCTCAAGTACATCCTTGACTACTCGCAAAGTGGTAACCATTGTGGAAGAGGTGGTGGATGGCAAAGTTGTCAGCTCATCCTCCCAGTCTAAAAGCGAGACTGTGTCAAAAACATCCTAACTCAGAGTGATGAAATCAATAAACTGCACTAACTGTGCACAAACTATGCATTTCTAGTGTCTGTCTTATTTTCGTCTGTTTTGTTGTCATATTTTATGGCACAATGTAAAAATGTATGCAAAAGATTTTAAATGAGGAAAAAAATAGATCTGCTAGTATTAGCCTAGTTGTGGTAAAAATGGAATGACAGCTAACTAAAAGGCAAAATTACATCACTGTTCTCAAGATGACTTTAAAGGGTGAGGGGTAATCCAGTTGACAGCTGGTGATTTCAAAATCTACTGAAAGAAGATGACATGTTGGAATTTGAGTCCAATTGCACATCAAACAAAAACTAATCCACTGGACTAACAAGTTCTATAGTTGTTAAAGCTTTAAGAAAATGTGAAGAACTAAGCTGTTACAAAGGGAATGTTTTCTCACCCCTGGCACCAAGAGTGCTAGGACCAGGACTCTAAATAAATAAATAAAATAATACATTTAAAAAGTAATAAAAAAATACATATAAAAAGCAGGCATGACACCCGTCAGTGCTTAAGTATTAAATATTATAGCAAGTAAACATTCAAGTAGGCCGATTGTGAATGCCACAATGCAGGGCGTAGATTACGCGGGGGACGTGTCCCCCCCCCCACTTTTAATATCCCGTAAATTCGTCCCCCGGTCTAATCAGCATCTTGATATGCCACACCTGTGAGGTGGATGGATTATCTCGGCAAAGGAGAAGTGCTCACTAACACAGATTTAGACAGATTTGTGAACAATATCTGAGAGAAATAGGCCTTTTGTGTACATAGAAAAAGTCTTAGATCTTTGAGTTCAGCTCATGAAAAATGGGGGCAAAAACAACAGTTTTGCGTTTATAATTTGTTCAGTGTATATATAAAACATTTATGTCCCCCTCACTTGTGTGATGACCACTCAATGATGGCTACGCCCCTGCCACAATGTACAATTAGCCCATACACAAATTCGATTTAAAGTAAATGTTTTGGAAATATTATAACGTTAACTAGTAGAAGTATTGTTATGACTAATGTAGCACATCTGGGTGAAAGAGACTATCATTTAACATACTTTGATTAATATAACATTTTGTTTTTGCGTAAGTAGTCAAACTCGAAATAAGGATATCTCTACAACAATCTTTAGATTAAAACCATTAGCTTCAGTGAGTCAAGTTAATCCCATTAAACATTTCTACTCAAGGCATTTTAACGTGATTAATATTATGATACTCCCATAACGTGCCATAAACATTAAGTCATATAATTTGTGGCCAAACAAAACATATATTTATTTGTCGAGATATTTTAATTCAAGTGTTTTATTTACCTCGCTGAAAACTCTCCCTCAGAAATACGCGCCATTCCTGTCAGGCGCGCGCGCTCTTGTGGTCGAGTAAGTAATTCACGCTTCCTATGTTCCAGACCAAGAACCAGCATTTTTACATTTTTTAATTTAATTTAATTTTTTACAAAAATTTGACCTACATTTCGCTAAATTGCCCTAAAACGGATAATTACGGGATTAGACAAGCGAATTTTGAGTTTAGGCGACTCGTTTGCAGAGGTCTGTTAACAAAAATACTTTTTGTATTTTTTTGTTACATGTATTTGTACTACTGAGATTAAGCCATCTTGTAAATTGTAGGCTATACAAGCTTGAATTTTCTTGGACTTACGAAAAACGTGATTAGACTAGTACCATTGTTTTAGACTCTGAATTACTTTAAAATTGTAAACTTTCTGATTATTGGTAGTAGGCTATAGCATTCCTAGTGTAGGCCTACATTGGTTGTTGGAAACAATAAAGAGCGCATTATGGCTATACAACAGTGAACCATATTTGGGGAATTATTTTAATCACTCAGAATTCAGACAACACTATAGTGTATAATGCACTATACATGGAACATGGACCTTCTGAACAGAGTTTATGACTTGTTGAATATAAGCAAAATAGGAAGTGGTCAGACACTGTAAATTCCAGCAGCTCAAGTGGGCTGAACTCTACATTTTGAAACTTGGTGACACTTTCTATGCCAGTTAATGAATATGAATATGAAACACACATTTATATTACACGTAGTTATTATAATTATTAAATATAATTATTAGCCTAATTTTAAGTTTTTTAAAAGTAAGATTTGTACAAAAAAAAAACACTGATGTCAAATTTAACAGTATGAGAAGTAATAAAATGTATCATGAATCTCTTGATAATACAGAGATCTGTTCTTCAGCTCAACAGCCTAAGGGAAGAAGCTGAACTTGGTGGGAAACAGTCTGCTGCTCTGTGTAGTGCATGCACAAACATGAGATGTTTCAAACTAGAATCCACTCTTTACAGTTACAATTGTTATATCATATGTTGCTTTAGGTGAATCTTAAATTGACAGTGAGATCAGCATACCTCCATAGGTTCATATCTTGTTTAATTACATATTTTTGCACTTATTTTTACATTTTTTAATTTTTTTTTTGCAGAAAAGCTTGCTTCTTCCAACACATCTACATCACTTATATGATGCAACTGGTGTTCAGATTCTGCATTGAATTTTTTGTGCCCCAGATTTGAAAAGTAATATATTGAAATTAGTGAATCATTAGAGTTAGTTATTGGCCTATAAAAGTGATATCGAATATTTAAGGTTTTTAGAGCATGAGGGGCTTTACTACAGTAAAACCAGCAGTGAAAAACAAGCAACCTCCATAAATGTTTGAACATGTACAGAGCTGCTTTTATCTGGGGAAAGGTTTACGGGGGAAATGTGAGCGTCTATCTTACTCACTTGAGGGTAAGATCAATCAACCAATCTTACTTCTCAGCGTCACCTTTCAATTCAGGTGATTTAAGCTGACAGAATTCCTTGCTGTCAGCAAAGTTTTTGATGAGAATAAGGTCAGCGCGTCCTTCTTTGTCAGCTGCCAGCATATATAAGGACCCTGAGTTGCTCTACTGTACTCACTCTCCAGCCAGAGCAGAGTAAGACCACAAACCATCGTCCACATGGCTACCACCTTCTCCAGCGGCAGCTTCATTTCCAGTAGATCCTCAATGGGCTCCTCACGCTTCTCTTCTTCAGGTGGAGGAGGTGGCCGCATCAGCGCCATGAGGGCTGGCAGCGTGTATGGAGGCGCAGGAGGTTCAGGGGTCCGTATCTCCAGTGCCTCTCGCTCCATGGCCTCAGCAGGCTCAGGAAGCAGCTTTGGCTTTGGAGGTGGATTTGGTGCTGGGGGAGGCGCTGGTGGAGGATTCGGCGGGGGATTTGGTGGTGCTGCAGCTGGAGGAGGATTCGGCGTCGGTGGAGGAGCGGATGACAGCATCATTGGCAACGAGAAGTTCACCATGCAGAATCTCAATGACCGTCTGGCTGCTTACCTGGAGAAGGTCCGCTCCCTTGAAAAGGCCAATGCTGACCTCGAGCTGAAGATATGCCAATTTCTTGAAACCAGAATCTCTCCTACTGGCACTGCTCGTAACCACTCTGCCTTCGAAGCTACTATCGGTGACCTCCAGGCTAAAGTAGGTCTAGCTTGATTCTTTGTGGTTAATGCTGTAAGGAAATTGCATAACCTAATAATCTTCATTACCATAAAAAAGTTCACATTTTTTGCAGATCCTGAGCGCCATGCAGGAAAAGAACACAGTCCACCTCAGCATTGACAATGCCAGCTTGACTGCAGATGACTTCAGAATGAAGTAATATTTGTTTCATTTTTCATTACATTTGTATAGAATAATTGCTGTGGAAATGTACAGAAATTATAGAAAAATAACAACAAATAACTGTTTAACTAATATGCAAATCAGCTTTTGGGTAATGTGATATGCTATACACATTTTTCAATTATGTTAAAGATGAAAGTAATGTTAACAATCCATTAGTCACGCCAAATGACCTTTTAAAGAGACAGTTCGCCCCAAAATGAAAATTCAGTCATCATTTACTCAACTTTCACTTGTTCCAAATCTTGTGTTCTGCCGAACACAAAATAACATATTTCAAATTCAAATTGGTAAGATATTTTTAAAAATGTTGATAACCAAACAGTAGCAGGTAGCCATTGATCTCCATATTATGGAAAAAAAATACTGTGGAAGTGAATGACTACCATCAACTGTTTGGTTGTCAACATTCTTAAAAATATCTTCTTCAACTAGTAATGAACTTCTAAAACTAGTAGAATGGGGATAGAATGGGGGAAAATAGCCAGTCACAGCAACAAAATTCTTGATGTTGAAAAAGACAGTTCTTTTGTATAATGTTGCTTTCTATTGGACAGATATGAGAACGAGCTGGCAATGCGTCAGTCTGTGGAGGCAGACATTGCAGGGTTAAAGACTGTGCTTAGTGAGCTCAATATGAGTCATAAAGACCTCAACCTGCAGATCGAAGGACTCACTGAGGAGCTGGTCTACATGAAGAAGAATCATGAGGAGGTAGTAAATCATTGCAAAACCTTTAAGAAAGTGTAAAACACAAGATTATGCTAAGAATTGCTAAACATTTTAGACAAGAGGTCAGGTCACACAGGTGTTTTATAGCTTTAAGCTCTAGATGTCACTGTTTTCTAACATATTTCAATTCCATGACACTTGAAGGCAAGAATGAACAGGTGATGATGAGAAGATATTTGAAAATCATATATGATGTATCTTCAGGACCTCTTGACCTCACGCAATCAGATGAGTGGACAGGTCAATGTGGAGGTTGATGCAGCACCACAGGAAGACCTGACCAAAATTCTAGCTGAGATGCGTGAGCACTACGAGACTGTCGTATCCAAGAGCCGGAGAGACCTTGAAGGCTGGTTCCAGCAGAAGGTTGGTTCAGTCCAGAACTTGATTCTTTGATAACAAACACTCATAAAGACATATGCAGTCTAGGAGCCCACCTCAAAAATGTTGGAAATAAAATAACAATAGTTTATGAAAGAAAGGCAAAACATCTACCGAATTAAAACAAGTTAGAAAATGATTGATCAGTTCTTGCAAAGATGATTTGTGTTTTTTATAGAGAAGTAGTATGTACGTCCCTTAAGTCTAGAAACATTGGCACAGCTAACCCTATGTTGGGCTTATGCATGTATTAAATTAAACGATCATTTTAAAACACTTCTTTTGCAGTCTGAGACCTTGAAACAAGAGGTTGCAACAAGTACAAAGACCTTGCAGACTTCGAAAACTGAGGTCAACACCGTGAAGAGCACAGTACAGTCACTGGAGATTGAGCTTCAGTCTCTCCTTGCCATGGTTAGTATGTGTAGACAAAATGTACAGCCTCAAAACTATTTGGACACAACTGACACTTAAAGCATGGTTTGGTGTGCATTAGATTTAAAAAAAACAACAACAATCAAACCAACTGGCATCCATTTTAAAAACCCAATTTTCAAGCCAAATAATTGATAGGCATTTGTTAAATGATAAACCCATTCAAAAGTATTTGAACTCTTTCTGGTTGGCAAACGTTTAAACAAATTTTTAGTTTTGGTCATTGCTAACATATCTTTCTCTCATTATCCCTACCTCACAGAATTCATCCATGGAAGGCACCCTGAGCGAGACTCAGAATCGCTACACCCTGCAGCTGTCCGGATACCAGGCACAGGTGAGAGTTCCTGAGCATAAGGCTATATCTCATAAATCTCAGATTTATGACAGATCTCATAAATCTCTTACTGTAGCCAACCACTAACAAGACTTTAAAATGACCTGTGCCAGGGTTAAAAGTTCTGTCTTCTCCCCTCGTAGGTGAGTGGAATGGAGGGTCAATTGGTGCAGCTTCGTGCCGATCTGGAGCGCCAGAGTCAAGAGTACCAGATGCTTCTGGACATCAAGACCAGACTGGAACTGGAGATTGCAGAGTACAGGAGACTGCTGGATGCAGAAGCCAGCGGCAGGTAAATCACAGACTACGTTTGTGTAGTTTACATGCTCTGCTCCATAAATTGGAATATTCTTGCAAATATGCAGACTGAGAAACATTATTTTCCTGCTATGCTCTACAAAAAAAATATATTTTTTTTTAATTATAAATAACTATTCTTATTCTAATAAATGCAGACCACACATGCAATAAATGTCTGAAGGCTGTATACCTATATATATATATTTATTGCACTATTGATAGATTTTTGAGGAAACCGTGTTCCATTTTTTTCAGGATTGATAAATACAAAGTTCAAAAGAACAGCATTTGTTTAAATAGAAATCTTTTGTAACATAAATGTCTTTACTGTCAATTTTTATCAATTTAATGCATCCTTGCTTAAGTGTTCATTTGTTTAAAGGTCCCATATTGTACACCTTTCTGTGGAAGTTTGTGGTTTAAAGCTTGAAAGACACAAGTCTACAAATTGAGCTTTACAGGTTTAACTGGTTGGGTATTTTTATTTCCAAACAGCCTCACAATCTCTGGCTCTGGCTCCAGCTCCTCCTCCAGCTCGATCACTACCACCAAAACAGCAGTGATCACTGTGGTGGAAGAGGTGGTTGATGGTGGGACGGTGGTTTCTTCCTCTTCAACATCCCTTGTTAAGTGAAGCCCACCAGACTCGTGTTGGTTGGAGAACAGAACTTTAGCTCCGCTCATGCTGTCAGAATATGGTGGTCGTCTTTGAGCATTTACAACAATAAAACTGATGTCAAAGACAAAATGTGAGTAGTTATGTCATCTATTGTATATGGATGCAATTTAGAGATGTTTCAGTTTAAGTGACCAGAGATCCCAAAAGGGTATATTAACATTGGCATAATAAAAGAATAGTTCACCCAAGAACAAAAATTGACTAAAACTCCAAGCAAGAAGTAGATGAATTTGTTTCTTCATCGAAATAGATTTGGAGAAATTTAGCATTACATTGCTTGTTGACCAATGGATGGGTGAATGGGTGCCGTCAGAATGAGAGTCCAAACAGCTGATAAAAACACCACAAAAATCCACATGTAACTTACACGACTCCAGTCCATCAATTAACATCTTGTGAAGCGAACAGCTGCATGTTTGTAAGAAACAAATCTATCATTAATACGTTTTAACTTTAAACTGTTGCTTCCAGTAAAATGTCTCTATCCATATTGCTTTCTCCAGTGAAAAGGTTTTGTCTTGTCTGATTCAGGAGAGAAATACACAGATCAAGCACCATTTACAAGTGAAAATTGTCCAAAACAGTTTTGTCGGTGGATTCTGATGTGAGAGGACAGGCAGGACTTTTTTACTGGAGGGTGACTGAAGAATTGTTATGGATTATGGACTCATATTTTGGCCAGAAGAGACATTTAAATTAAAAAATGCCCTAAAGATGGATTTGTTTCTTACAAACATGTAGTTTTCACTTCACAAGATATTAATTGCTGGAGTGGAATCAGGTGGATTACTTGTGGATTATTGCGATGTTTTTATCAGCTGTTTGGACTCATTCTGACGGCACCCATTCACTGCAGAGGATCCATTGGTGAGCAAGTGATGTACTGCTAAATTTCTCAAGATCTCTTCCAAAGAACAAACAAACACATTTACACCTTGGATGGCCCGAGGGTGAGTAAATTTTCAGCAAATTTTCATTTGGGGAATTCCTTTAACTTGGTACCAATGCATCATTAAACATGTCCAATCCCAATCCGACCACATCCTCAATTAAATCCAGGCGAGAAACATTTACATTAAATTAAGTGTATAATGTTTTCAAATGACTGCGGACTGTCTTTACTTTGTCAAATAGTTTTAAACCACACACAGCAGACAAACAACATTATGAACTAGGTTAGCTAAACCACAGATATGTATCAGAACGTGAAGTATGTAAACTAGTTACAAAAGACTGCAACAAACTTGCACAGATGACAGAACCTGCTGAATAAATAAATATGAATGTGAATGAACGAAAAACAATGGTAGTGAGAGTAAACATTAATTTCACGCGGGAATGACAAATCTCACATATATGTGTTTTGACAATCCACCCAAGGAGTATAAATCCATTTCTCCTGTAGGAGACCTCCAAAAATCTGCCAAGGATAAACATCAACTATAATATAATGAAATATTTGATTTATACGTTGCTTGCAAAACATTTCATTACAATACACAGCTACTTCTGAATGGCCATCTATAGAGAAATATGCCTTTTGTCCACAGAATGCACTACATCCAAATTTGACTATGCTAACCAGCCAAACTTTGACTCCTTGTGTCAACTAGTTAATCCAGCATCAAACCACCAACAACCAGCATGGTTTATAGATGTATTTATAGATGCATTTATGCACGCCTTTTTGGAATTGTCTTTCATTTAATTTCATTTAATATAATTTAAAATGACTTATTGGTTTTTAAAATGTCTTTTTAAAAACGTTTTCCAGTTAAATCACATAAAAACTACTAAAACAAGCTACAATTATTGAGTAGATATTTTGCAAGTGCATTACGTTCATTTTTTTAAATATAAATGAGTTACAAACAGAAAAATAAGATTAAAATTAAATTAAAAAATAAGAATTATCAATGCATAAAACACAAGATAAGATAAGATATTGGATAATGTAGCATTGGGTCAGTATAGGGTCACTGTGTAAAATGAAAAAGCAGTTAGCATTGCAGAATCTTGACAAATTACTTTCTGCTATGTTGCAAAAGTACCTAAAAGGTCAAACTGGAATGAAAGATATTTCACTTACTACTAAAATAACAAAAGGCAAACAAACAAATCTAGTTCCGATGGACTTGCTGTGCATAAACCTCACCTTTCCATCATAATGTTGCAGTACATACGGAAACCGCAAATGTCAAACGCATCAACAGCAGAAGTGTTTTCAGCCCAGCCCAGCCCAGCCCAGCCAAGCCCATAAAAGAAACGTGGTCTAGTCAGTAAGCAGAATTCATTTCTGTGGTAACACGCCTGTGGAGTGTTGAAATGAAAGGTCCTGTTGAAAAGAATTGTTAATAATGGAAACAAGTCTTTAAACTCTCTAGGACTCTCTAGTTTCTAGGATGAAAACCGCTGTGCTGCAGGGTTCTCTACAGAGAATTTGTTTCTAAATGTTTTTAGCCTGAATTTCAACAACCTTTGCATCTTTAAACAATGACAAAACAACTAAGAAAAAGTAAACAAAACACCATAAGGCATAATAATTGAGCCAAAAAAGAAGGGGAGAAAGTGTCTATGGTGAAATAAACCATTTTTTGAATTGCAAAACCATCATGTGTTACTATTTATCTTCTTTCAACGTTAAATAAATAATAATAATAAAATAATATAAAAATGAATAAAATAAAATAAAACTGTTTTCCAGTAAATTGATCTAACATCTTAAAAACAAGACGCATTTACTTTTGAGGAAAAAATAGGCCTAATACATTTTTTGATGATCAAAATACAGTATAAACAGTAATATTATGATATATTATTACAATTTAAAATAACAGCTTATTTTGATATTTTAAAATGCAATTAATTTCTGTGATGCAATGCATCTTTACTCCAGTCTTCAGTGTCACATGATCCTTCAGAAATCATTCTAATCTGCTGATTTGTGCTTATTACCTATATATAAGCTATAATTGATATATTATCTTATATCAGTGATCTTTTTATTTTTTCAGAGTGTTTGTACTGCCATTAATGTACACGAAAGTCAAACAGAAGCTGGAAGATTTGCTAACAGTGTCTTTTACCCTACATTTCACCTTAGGTGTGACCTTTACGGTCGCTGGAATCGTTCCAGCGAATGCAGTGAGATGGCATGCATGGAATTCCAGGCTTTGTGTCTTATATTCAAATTCACTCTATAAAAGAAGCTGGCATTCTCCTTCCATCATTTACTGACCTGCCAGAGCAGACGCAGACAGAAAGTCTTGGTCAACATGGCTTCCACCTACTCCACCCGCAGCAGCTACATGTCCTCCAGCGGCTCCACGCGTATATCCACGTCTAGCGTGGGAAGCAGCCGCATGAGCACCGCGAGGGCCGGGAGCGTGTACGCCGGCGCAGGAGGTTCAGGGGTCCGCATCTCCAAGGCCACTTACTCTGTTGGAGGTTTCAGCATGTCAGGATCTGCAGACAACAGCATCGTTGGCAATGAGAAACTCGCCATGCAGAGCCTCAATGACCGCCTGGCTACTTACCTGGTCAAAGTGCGCTCACTAGAGAAGGCCAACGCTGAACTAGAGCTGAAGATCCGCCAGTTCCTAGATGGCAAAGCCTCCCCTGTTGCTCGTGACTACAGCGCGTACTTTGTCACCATACAGGATCTTCAGGCTAAGGTATTTTATGTTTTTTGAAAGATCCTAAATATAGAGCTAAAAATTATATATATATATAAAATAATTATATTGGTGTATATGTCCAGATCATGGCAGCCATTCACCTGAAGGGTGGCATCCATCTCAGCATTGACAACACCAGCCTGGCCATTAATGATTTCAAAATGAAGTGAGTCTTTCCAGCAGATTCAATGTTTATTGCATGTTTTCGACACAAGCATAGCAGAAAATTGACTGATAGCAACATAATGCAGTACGCAGAAAAGGAAATTTAGGATTTTGGTATTTATTTATTTATTTTGATTAAATATGTATAGAATATAGAATAAATGTTTCATATTCTTCAAAGATCAAACCGATATCATTTGTAATAGAACAATGCAAACCTGCAGCATTTTTCCTTGTGGTCTCCAGAGTTATTATAGTGAAGTAAAGTAAAGCAAAGTAAAATGAATTTTAACTGAAGTCAAGGCAACATTTCTCATTTGCATTTAGTTTAGCTTGATGTGCTAAAATAACTAAAAGTAAAACTTTAATAAAAATGTATAAAAAAAAAACTTTACTACAAAATTACTAAAACGTTAAAATAAAAACTGGGGGGAAAAACGAATTCAAACTATTAATTATAACTATAATATTATCTCAATGATACTAAAATAAGACTGGTGGTCTCATATTTAAACCCCAAAGGTTTCATATTATACCATGACATTTTGACAGTTAATATTATATCTGTGACCATATCATTTACAATATTGTTTTAACTGTTAATTGTTTTCTGCATAAATTATTTATAAAAATTATAGCAAGCTTCGTATAAGAGTTCTACACTAGAGAATGTATACAATAGCACGAGTGTTGCATTGAATCAGTTTTACCTGAGTTTGGAGGTGGGTCTTGTGTCCAGTGTTTTTTAAAGAGCATGTTTCTGACAGATATGAAACCGAGCTGGCCATGCGTCAGTCAGTGGAAGCAGACACTGCCGGCCTGAAGAGGGTGCTTGATGAGCTCAACATCACCAGAAAAGACCTCACCATGCAGGTCGAAGGGCTGAAGGAGGAGCTGGTCTATCTGAAGAAGAATCATGAGGAGGTGCATAATGATTTTGTGAAAATGTATATAGTAGTAGAATAACATATTATATACACATGTAACCTAAAATAAGATACATTGACCTGAGAAGCAAAGCTGCATGGATATCATTTAAAATTATTTCAGATTTTGTACTATAAATAGGTCACTATCAAGTAAGCAAATAATATAATTTGTAATTATTGTTGAAACAATATGAAAACATTTTTGAAATTGTTTTTAAAAATGTTAAATTAGAATTAGAAAAAGAATTGTAATTAAAATTTGTACAAATTATTTAAAAAAAAATTTTTAAATTATTATTAAAAAAAATGCACAATAGCAGCATATTTTCATACATTTTTACTGGGGGGAAAAAAAAGAGCCTAAACATTTTGTATGATTTGTTACAATTTAAGTATTTTATTGCTGTTAAATATGACAATGTTTACCAGTGAGGTTACTTGAGACTTGACATGAATATGAATATATTCTTAGGATATGTTGGCCACGCGTGCACAAATGAGCGGACAGGTTCACGTCGAGGTCGATGCAGCTCCACAGCAAGATCTCACCAAGATCCTCGCAGAAATCCGTGAGCACTACGAAGAAGTCACAGCGAAAAACCAAAGAGATCTGGAGCTCTGGTTCAAGACAAAGGCGAGATTTATCAAAACATACAGGGACGGAAGCCTTTAATGTGCTTTTCATGACCAAATGGTGTGAGACCGCTTGTTTCAAGTAAGCAATCTCTTTCTGCTTTTTATTTCAGACGGAAACTCTGAAACAAGAAGTTGTCACCAGCACCACAGACCTGAAAACATCTCGCACTGAAATCAATATGGTCAAATCCACACTCCAGTCTTTGGAAATCGAACTCCAGTCCCTCTTAGCCATGGTCAGTGATATGGAATTGGCCATTTCTGTGGTAATATTTGTGTTTTAGTATGACTATTCTGAATTTGCATGTTCTTATTACTGTAGAAAGCGTCTTTGGAGGCCACATTGAACGACACCAGGAATCGTTATTCCATGAAGCTGTCCAGTTACCAACATCAGGTGAGTAGATTTGCAATTAACAAAACCGATATATCATTTACTCACCCTCCTGTCATTCCAAACCTGTATGTCTTTTTTTTTTTTTCTCTGTGGAACACAAGTAGATATTATTCAGTGCATCTTAAAAGATGGCGGAACAAACGTTTTAAAGAAACAAACCAACTTGTTTTTTGTGCTCCCAGGTCACCATCCTGGAAGAGCAGATAGTCCAACTCCGTGCCGATCTGGGGCGCCAGCGTCAGGACTACCAGATACTCCTGGACATCAAGACCAGACTGGAGCTGGAGATTGCGGAGTACAGGAGACTGCTGGATGGAGAAGCCACGTGAGTTGATCGGTTCCGTCATTCAGATCCAAATCATTCAAAAAGCAGTTAAAATGTCCCTGGAACACACTATACTATTATTATTATTATAGTTAAAATGAAAGCCTCTAACTGTTGTTTTTCCTCTACAGCGTCAAAACATCCTTCAGTTCCACCTCGAGGACAAAAGTCATCACAGTCGTGGAAGAGGTTGTAGATGGAAAAGTGGTCTCCACCTCCACGTCCTCATCCATGTCTGACAGTCACAGACTTTGATTGGCTGTAATGCCTGTTTGTGTTTGCAGTATGCACAAAACTGGAAACCAAATAAAATAAAACGCCATTTAAACTCTATTCTGCTGGAGTTTTTATTCATTTATTTTTCTAAAATTATGCATATTAAGTCAAGACTAGGTCATATAAAAAAGTGATTAAATTACCTTTTTTTTTTGTTTTGCAGAAAGTATGCATTTCAGTCTATATCTAAGGAAGCCACTATAATTACACATCTTTTTTTAATTTCTTTTTTTTTTTATCCTCCATCTATTATCATTTACTTTTTTAATGATAATAGACATAGGATAAAAGTATATCTTATGAAGTAAATAAGAAGTATCTCATATGTTGATTTAAAATGACTTTACCTAATAGGCCTATCGGGAAATGGTAATGGCGTTTACAGGTTCTTCATGACTCTTACACTTTTGTCACATCTTCATTACGTCCAACAATCCACTAGACTAGGCATTTCAACATTTATATTTTTCATGAAATAAAAAAAAGACATACCACACAACCCTTACGAAAACTAACCATGGTTTTACTACAAAAACAAACATGTTTTAATATAGTTAAACCATGGTTACTACAAATTAACCATGGTTTTGCTAAACTAGTTAAATCATGGTATTTTTAGTAAAACTGTGGTTACACAAATGGTAATACGCCAAAAAACAAGGTTTTTACTATAATAAAACCATGGATAATTTTCGAAAGGGAAACGGCAGGTGGCGCTTGAATGTCGAATAATGTTTGGCTTTCTTCTTTTCCCCCCAGTTTTATCCTTGATGTTCACAAGCAAACCTGTCTTGGAGACATTAACAGTGCTTCATGAACAACTTCATAACATTTACAGTCTGTTAGTCTCAAATACATGTGTAATGTGATTATAATACACATCCACTGTTAAATCTGTAAAGCCAAAAAAAAAAAAGTTATGCAAAGCTACGAAAATGCAGGTTACAAGGTAGTTCCGTAAAGCAATTATGCAGTTTTGTTTATTTTTCCTAATTTGGAGCCCCTTAGGTAAATGTGTAGAATTAACTTTCGTAAACAGTCGTAATTACCGTGGATAGCGGTACACGCATAGATATGTATATCTATGGATGTGCATTTGTTGCTGCCCTAAATTCGCCCTTTTCGCGGAATTTCGTACCCGCTCTTCAAACTTACTGCAAGAACTGACGTTTGGGAAATATACAGAAGACAACTTCGACTTATTAGACGATATATTTCAAGGTAAAAACGTAGTTTCTTTTATCTTGTGAGTAGAAGTGTTGATGACAAACCTCTAATGATGAGCTGACCCCGACCTCTGGTGGCTGACCTAATCCTGGATATAAAAAAGTGACATGTGGCCAAGTATGGTGACCCATACTCGGAATTAGTGCTCTGCATTTAACCCATCCAAAGTGCACACACACACCGTGAACACACACCCGGAGCAGTGGGCAGCCATTTATGCTGCGGCGCCCGGGGAGCAGTTGGGGGTTCTACAAGTCTGACTCTCTAACCATTAGGCCACGACTTCCCCACCACCTATGAAACGAAATGACCTATGATATGAAAATGATACTGAGACGGTTGCTTCCTACAAAAGTTAATAACTGTTTTCACCTCTTTTGGAAATCAAACATCACTTTTAGGTCAGTATTAAACATTTAAATGGCAGCTTTTAGATTAAAAACACCTTATAGTTCACTTCAGTAAGCTATATCCTCGTGGCATTCAGTGTTGCAAAATACCATAAATATCAGCCAGCAGTGAATACAGATCTGACTCAGAAAACCATGCTAGGTAAAACACAGCTTGAAGTCATTCCGGTTTGTACCAACAACTCCTCAAAGATGCATTTAGTTCACTAACTGCATGGATAATTATCCTGGAACAGCTGGGAGTTCAGTGGGAATTAAGCCTTTGTGGTTTTGTATTATCAGTCCACATCCTTAAACATGAAGCTACTGGCAACTCATTTCACTGTTCCCTACCAGCTAGCATTAATGAAGCTGAAGTACTTACACAAGCCATGCATGGACAATAACAACTGCCTGTAAAATAAAAAATAACCATATGTTGAGTTTTACTTGACTCAAGAATGTCAACATCCGTGTTGCCGCAATCTGTCATTTTTAACCCACGCACAACTAGAGAAAAAAGTCTCCAGATCTTTTCAGTTTATGCTAAGTTTACTTTAGCCTACTTTAGACTGGCTCCCTTGTGAAAGAGGACACTATTGGGACACCAATTAGGTGATAAACATCCATAATAACTATTTGGGGTCAAACAAAACAAGTTCAGTGATTCTCACAGGACCTGCAAATATCATCAGTGCTGGAGATAAAACATGTGCAGACCCACAGAATTACATTAAAATAAACACACATCAATGCCGCAAATTAATATGGGGAGAAAGAGAGATTACATTTCTAACTGTTAAATTCTTGAAAGAATGCACTTTGCTTTTATTTATACTCGAACATCCAATTCGCTAATTTCTTAACTCCAAATAACTCCACGGTTGAGAACTTTTTTACAGCTATTAAACTTTACTTTGTGTTGCGGATTAACTACTTTTAAAACCCAATTTGATAGAAAACACATGTGCATTCCCTGTTTCTCTGTAACAAAAACCTCTGTTTAAGAAATTCCACAGAGATGATTGAGCTATAGTCAACAAATTGTTCTAAACATTTTATGACTCATAAGAATGACATGTAAATATAAAAATCACAAAATGTTTAAACAGTAACTGAGACCTAATAAGAAGTGCGAAAGAAGCTTCGTTCTTCTACCACTTACATTCATCTACATCTATGTAATCCAATTTTTTCTGGATTGGAGGTAGACCAAAACCTACAGGTGCAGTTGTTTAATTTACAGTTTAATTGATGCCATTTGAACAATTGGCCGCAAGAGTCAAAGATGAGATACTCAATAAATCCCAAAATAGCCACACTTAAACAATCATAAAGTTATTTTTATGACTAAGCAGGCAGCACACACCAACCTTAAAGGGATCGTTCACCCAAAAATAAAAATTCTGTCATTAATTACTCACCCTCATGTCGTTACAAACCTGTAAGACCTTCGTTTATCATCGGAACACAAATTAAGATATTTTTGATGAATTCCGAGAGCTCTCTGACCCTCCCATTGACAGCAAGGATCCTTACACGATCAAGGTCCAGAAACGTAGTAAGGACATCGTTAGGACATTCGTCTCCTCCGCGTCACCCTGGCACCATTTTGGAGAGTATCACATGAGTAAACAATGTATCCGCGTACATACGTTGCATACGTTGTTTATGTATGTGATACTCTCCAAAATGGTGCCAGGGTGACGCAGAGGAGACGAATTGTTGAATAATGTTGTTATTTTTGTTTTCTTTGTGCACAAAAAGTATTCTCGTAGCTTCATAAAATTACAGTTGAACCACTGATGTCACATGGATTATTTTAACGATGTCCTAACTACTTTTCTGGACCTTGATCGTGTAAGGATCCTTGCTGTCTATGGGAGGGTCAGAGAGCTCTCGGAATTAATCAAAAATATCTTAATTTGTGTTCCGAAGATGAACGAAGGTCTTACAGGTTTGGAACGACATGAGGGTGAGTAATTAATGACAGAATTTTCATTTTTGGGTGAACTATCCCTTTAAAGGGGTTAGATCACCCAAAAATTTAAACTCTGTCATTTGCTCACCCTCCAGTTGTTCCAAACCTGTATGAGTTTCTTTTTTCTGTTGAACACAAAAGAAGATACTTTGAAGAATGTTGGTAACCAAACCGTTGACAGTAGCCTTTGACTTCCATAGTACTTTTTCTCATCATATGGCTACCGTCAACTTTTTGGTTACCAACATTCTTCAAAATATATTCTTTTGTGTTCAACAGTAAAAAGAAACTTATACCGGTTTGGAACAACTTGAAGGTGGGTAAATTATAAAATAATTTTCATTTTTGGGTTAACTATCCCTTTTATATCAAGTATTCCGTCTATTTTGTTAGCCACTGCTGTAAATAAAGGCATGGGTGAGAAATGTCTTCAAATGCACAATGGAAATACAGGAACTCAATGAATTCTAAATTAAAAAATAACAGCAGATTTTTGTTGTTGTTGTTTTTTACATTAGTTTCTTTAATAATTAATTCCAGTACATGGTTTAAGAATTACATATTATCAATAAACGTGTACACTGAGTATTTTACTGGAGGAAAGAAACTAGAATGGCACTCACTACGACACTGCTCAGACAAGATACAAAGACTCTCTGTAAGCTCACTGATCCCAAACATAGACACTTTCATAAGAGAAAATCAGTCACAACTGTACCCAAAAGAAGATATTAAGAAAAGAAGAGGAGACGTAAGGTATGAAAACATAATGAAACGTATATATTTTATAATATATTTATATATATATTGTAGCTTTTATAAAAAAAAAAGAGAGAAAAAAAAGAAACAAAAACAAAAAAAGAGTAATACTTTTGAGACATAATGAGGTTTCTTTTAGCTACTATCGTTACTGCGACTGCTGCCACTGCTAAGATCGGGCCGTTCTTTTTTGTGAATCTGCTCGTGTGCTTTGAGATGACCTGATTGGCTGAAATTCTTCCCGCACTGCTGGCAAGTGTACGGCCGTTCGCCCGTGTGAATTTGCTGGTGTGCTTTAAGATGTCCCAAGCGACCGAAACTTTTGCCACACTGGGTGCAGCCGAACGGTCTTACCCCGGAGTGAATCTTCTCGTGTGTTCTGAGGACCCCTGAATTGCTGAAAGTTTTGCCACACTGGGAGCAGCTGTAGGGCTTCTCGCCTGTGTGGATTTGCTGGTGATTGCGGTAACTCGACTCTTTAGTGAAGCTCTTGCCGCACAGTGAACAGCAGAAGGGCCGCTCTCCCGTGTGGCTCAACTGATGGGCTTTGAGTTCCTTTGTTTGGCCGAAGCTCTTACCGCACTCAGCGCAACTGAACGGCTTCTCGCCCGTGTGCAGTCGCTGGTGCGAGCGGAGATCGTCCGCTTTGGTGAAACCCTTCGGGCAGTGCGCGCAAGTGTAAGGTTTTTGCCCCGTGTGGATGAGCTGGTGCCTTTTCAAGTTACCGGCCTGCCCGAAGCTCTTCCCGCACTGGGAGCAGGTGTAAGGCCTCTCGCCGGTATGGATGCGTTGGTGAGTCTTCAGGTTACCCAGGGTGCTGAAGTTCTTCCCGCACTGAGTGCAGGAGAATGGCTTCTCACCTGTGAGGTTGCGAGGTTTGCGTGGAGTCGGCGCATGGCCTTTTGTGCTGGTTTGGTTGTGCGCGGCAGTCGCTTTGCTCGCCTGGACGGACATCAGTTCGTAAAGGTTTCCTGATTGGAAATCCGAGTCCATTTTCCCCATGCTGTCGATGACGGTTTCGGGCCGGAGCTTGTTGAGTTCGGTGCGCAGCTCCGCCATGTGAATCGACTCCAAGCCATTCATCTCGGTCTTGATGTGGCTGGACATGAGGTTGGGCTCGTACTCGGTCTTGATGGCGCCGAGCTCGCTGGCGTAGTAGCTGTGGAGGTCCGAATGTTGCTCCGACTTGATGTACTCCAAGCTGTCCGAGACGTGAGTGATGTAGTCGAACACCAGACTGGGTTCGTAGTGTGACTTGTAGGAGTCCAGCTCCGTGCTGTGGAAGGAATGGAGGTCGCTGTGGTGCTCCGATTTGATGTAGTCGAGGCCGCTGATTTCCATCTTGATCTGTTCGGAGCCCAGCTCGGCGGTGCTCAGGGGCTGGATCACAGACAGATCCACCGTGCAGATGGGGTCGAGGTCGAGGTCGGGCTCGCTTTTGATACACGGCAGCATAGCCATGGGCTCCACGATCTCGGAGGCCAGCGAGCTGAGTGTCGGCGTGCTACATTCTGACGACAGCATGGTCAGGGTTGGCGTGGTGCACTC